TTACTATTTGAAAAATTGTACAGATAGTTTTACACACGGAGAATTATTCGCGAGGAGATATTTTCTCAATCAGTTTACCCCACGGAGAGCAAAGATCTCAAGTTTGTTATTCCAACCTTCGTAATTAATTTATCAAAATTATCAAAAGTTCGCCAGAAAAAAATATTTCTATATACAAGAGTCACGATATTCATCGAGAATATGTATTTCACACGTCGTTGCAAATAATCTGTCAAAGTGTCAGGTATAAAGCTCCATCGGTTATTCGAGTTTAAAGCTCTGTCAAAAACGTCTCGACTCTGGGACTTTATCGCGCTTTTAAAAATTTCTTCTCCAAGACGTGCTGAAAGCGTGCGAAGCTTGTTGACGGAAGGAAGGAAAACAACGTGCAAAGTGGGATAATCGTTGGCCGGGCAATAAACGTATCGAGCACTCGCGCGGCCAGACGACGCTTCTTCCAGAGTACGCGGAGGCTTCTGCCGCGAGCGAAACGAGCGAGCACGCCGATCGTCTGCTGCGAGCGCGAGAATTCGCCGTGGCTTTTCGCGCTCCCTTCTCCGTCTACGGCCGCGTCTCTACTTCCCGTATGTCATCCGTATTTTTGCCGCGAAATATACTCGAATTCCCCGTGAAGGTCACTCGATTGCGTGCACGACCATTGACAATGTTCTTCGCGGGAATTCGCCAGAGACGAATGTGCGTAACATTAATTACCAACCGGTGGGTCAAATTTTGCTTGGTACAATTTGCCCCCGGACGTTTCGTAATTATACGTGATTTAGTACGCATTTATGATTGTTGGAACGAGTGGCTTATCACATCGGGTGGCACGTATTACGAATAACACGAATTATTGCTTCGACTCGAGATTTATATACACATATGTGGGAAAGAGAAATATATTCGGACAATTAAAAATCGAAAGAAATCGTGCAACGATAAATCTGTACTCATTTCGTAGCTCGAAGCCTCCACGTTTACTTCATTTCAAAAATGATCATCTTCGTCACACGTATAAACATTGGAAAATTACTTTCCCGACTGAATCTGCAATAGATTCGAAGACAACGGATTTTTCGAAAATTTCGAATATCAGGCGAGAACACAATCGAATATAATTACGAAGATAATGGTCAAGCTTAATATCCCAGTCGTGACAAGTATCGGCGCCACGTCATAAATTCACAACGTGTGATGAAAAAATCGAATTTTCAAATTTCAAACAAGGAGGAATATGAAACGTCGGTATTAATACGGTAGCTCTCACTCTGCCTTCAAAATCGAGCATTTAAATTCGGAGGTGACGTGCGCGAAACCCGACGTTTCATCGATATTTCATATTTTCTTTCATCGTCAGTGGCGATACCGTGCAGTAATTAGCGCATCCGACTTCGAAACTACATCACTACCTTGCACACTTCGCACGATTTTCCAACTAATTGCTTGTTTAATTCTAGCGAGACACGAACGGAACAGACATACTATTTCGATGTTCATGCTATTGCAGCGACAAAATAATATTTATTAAAAATAACATTCGCACAATTTCGCACCGGTCAATTTTGGAGTAATCATCTCTTTTCATACTGATTGAAATATTCGCTTCAAACATTTGATTCTATATTTTATATTGATTTCAATTATATTTGTTAAATAATAATACACTTGATGGATTGTGAATGTTCAAGCCTGATATTTTCAACGGTACACACGTATGTCTGATTTCTTTCACGGCCGAGTATCTTATCAGTACGAGATACGCGAAAGACAACAATGATAAATTTACATTTTCACTTTGTAAAAATTCTATGCCGGATTTTACGTAACACGCATACACATATTTTTGACTATTAAAAAGTTTTAAGTAAGAGATCTTAAGACACGGAATTGAAATTGAAATATCTCTTGAATTAAACATCTTGAAACACTAATATTTAAATTGGACTTTATTAAATGTAATATATTTCTATATATACTTCGATTCATATACCCCATTTTTTTTTTTTCTATATTTTTCAGAAAATAGAAGGAAATGTCTACTCTTATTTAAGAAAAAATATCGATGACGTGGGAAATTAAATAAAGAAACAACGTTCAGTCAAGGAAATCGTGAATCACGCCGTCCCTCATTCCAAATCAACTAACTTTGCGAGTGAGATAATTTTTTCTATTAATAAATCTCATTAACTGCAAGATATTCAGAATAATTCAGGATAAGTGAAACCCAAGATAATGAAATATAGAATAATACTTCTATAAGTATGTTCTAATATTAAAACAATTTATATAAAATAACTTGTAAAAAAGCATTTTTTTTTTAATGAAGCTCAACAATTTAATATATACGTTTTAAAACATAAACACTTGTTTTTCTGTAATTTATTTTAATGAAACACACAATAGAGCTAATGGCACT